ACTGCAATCACAGAGCATACTCGGAATTTCAAGAGACTTTACAACCAATGCTCTACCAAGAACGATCCCTGACCGACTTGGCTCTAGATACCAATTGTTGAATAAGAAGAGTATCCAAGATAACTCTAATGATCCCAAGAAGAAGAAAATAGAGCACACTCTTAAAGAAAGCTCACAAAACAAACTAATTAGCAAAGCCTTTCTTATTTAGCTCTAGGCTTTGTTTTTCCTTGGATGATATACAATGCTTGGGGACTTGGGTATTTATAGCAAACCAAATGAAAGCTACACCACACACTTAATTAGACTAAGATTATTTACTACCACACAAAACCCATTAATTGCACCTAATTTTTCCACTCAACCATACCTAACATTTGTGACATTGATTAATTGCATAGAGCACTCAACAGTTTCAACTTGGAACCTAATAGTTACATTTGTTTGGAACATTCTCAGGCTCCTTAAGTTTCCACACGCACATGTCAATTTCTGTTTGTGCATTTTAGGATTTTACTACGGATCATAGTTACCCTAATCCGTGTACGTATGGCAGTAGCTCAGGGTTGTCAGCGAGTTATGCTCACAAATCAGAAATCTACACGAGCTTGACCCATTATAAATTGGTATGCGTTGGGGTCGTCTGAGCCATTCCGCTAGGAAAACTTACACATAAACTTCAGCCCAAACTGTGTCCACAAAGTCCAATGGTTCATCTGATCATCGACTGCTTCTTCTTCATGAGAAAATATGGCTTGTAACTATGTGTATTGTCCACAGCCATTAGTATTAGTAATTTTTTTTATCACGTCATGCGATAGAGAAATACTATTGTGAAATAATATTACTGATTGTACCACAAAAATCTGCCCTTTTCACAGCACAATTTCTAATTTTTTTTATTTATTTCAGTTTTTCTCTTTTAACCAAACCTGGGTTGTTATATAATCAACATATCAAACCTATCCCAAACCAAATTAGGGACTGATTGTTCCTGCAGGCTGCAGTGTGTTAGAGACGTTATAAATCTCCACCATGAACATATGTATGTGGAGTTCAGTTCCCTCACCAGTACTGGTTATTCATTCTTATCCCCAGCCGAAAGCTAGCTAACGTGGCACCTATCTCTTCTTAGAGCACACAGGTGTCGAAAGCGAACTCGATCCCACCATTTCATCAGTTGCCTAGATTTCAAGCCATCACGGTCGAACTGACAATTACATTATGCTGCGTTTGTTGGATATGATTTATGTATCATGTATGGATGATAAACTTGCAGGACAGTATGTTTAATATGTGTCGAACCTGTCACTCTTCTTCCCTCGTGATATCAAATCGATCAATACCAATCTTTCATAATAAGTTTGATTACATCTATGGAAATCCAATTTATAGGGCTCAGTGGCCGGCACAATTTGAGTTTCAGAGAATTAAGACTCAAGTTGAGTTTTAAAATATTAAGAGAGACTCGAGTTAAGTTTAAGCTTTTACAATGAAAACCATAAATGCTACAATAGCAAAGTTTGGATATGGCATGGGCAATTTTTTGTTTGTTTGTTTGTTTTAATTTATGGTTTTGTACAACTTTGGTAGCATTCCAGCCCATAACAAGATTGGGTTTGCACAGAAATTTAATGAAATTTCGTCCTGGCTTGGCTCCAACTGTAAACTTGTCTTGATTACAATTTTTCAGCTAAATATTGACAAAAAATTTTATCTTCTTATTACGAAATTATCGCACACAAGTAGTAAATGTAGATGTGTAGATGTTACCTTTCTATTTTTGTGCACTTGTGCGTGTGAAACATACTCAAGGGACCAAAGTCAATCAACTTGCTGCTAATCAACGATTGTGGGTGGTGACACAATAAGGTGGATGAAATTTGCGAAAAAAGTCGTTGGTTTAGTGGGTAATACCTTCGAATTTATCTCTTGATTCGTAGTTTGGAGTTCTCATAGCCTACTTGTTAGTGCTAAAGCTGCTCCTTAGCTCATATAGCCGTTCGTTAGTGCTTAACCTACTCTTTAGTTAGCGCACATAGCACGCAATGAGACTTAAGCTTATGCGTGGACATTAGTCCAGTGAGAATAACGACTTGATCATGACTTATGGGTGAAAAATTAACAAGAGCTTTAATTCTCTCTTAAGTCTTAAGTTCTTAACTAGAAAAAGATATTTTTGTATTTATCACATGAGAGATTGTAATATTGCTGTTTTTATGGCTCAGATACGTTTACCAATAGAAGTAAAACCTAGATATCTAAATTTAGCAAATGGTTCCGCAGTAAATTCATCATTTGGAAAGAATCGCATTCACATAGTGGTTTAGGGTGAGAGTGAGAGATGAGAGCCACAAGAGAGTTGAAAGAAACCCTAAGAGGAGGGGGGGGGGGGGGGGGGGGGACCAAAAACAAGTTTCTACATAAACCAACAAAATAGTCTCTCTCATTTTTTCTCCCACAACACACCTGCTACACACGCAATTGTGGCCTTCCCTAACTCTAGTTTGGCCCACATGGATCCCTCAGTTTGACTTGCAACCAATAAGAATTCAGAGAAAAAGATCAAGTTGAGAGGCTTAGCCAATGAGCAGTGAGATACGACCTCCTTGTGGGTCCCAAGAAGCTTTAGCAACATCCTCTCCTCTCTTCCTAATGTAGCAAAGCAAAGCAAACCACCAAAAAAACTGCATGGCAACGAAGGTAACAGTAAAAGCGCTGCAGTGGGTCTTCCTTTCACTCTCACACTCTTCTCCCACTCCCCACACTATAATTATTGAACCATTTGGGCCTCTAAATAAATATGTGAAGCCACCTCAATATTCCTTGTTCATGAGTTGTGACTACTTACAACAAAAGCACTTTGTTCACCTCAACATTACTCCTTCTGAATTCAGTTGTGACTTAAAACAAAAGCAATTGTTCATCGGTTTGATTCTTGCTAGATTTTATCAAACACTTTGCTGTTTGCTGCTGCTGCTGCAGTATGATCACGGATAAGAAAGCTGCAAATGCAATGGGAGGCAACACGGCTCGAGCTTGCGATAGCTGTTTGGTGAAACGGGCACGATGGTTTTGTGCTGCTGATGATGCTTTTCTTTGCCAAAGATGTGATGCCTTGGTGCACTCGGCGAACCAGTTAGCAAGCAGACACCAGAGGGTTCGGCTCCAAGGTTCATCTGTCAAGGCCAATGCGTCGGTGCAGCTAATTGCGGACCAAGCTGCACCGGCTTGGCACAAGGGGTTCAAGCGCAAGGCACGAACCCCTCGCCACAACAAGAAGCCTGGATTCGCAGCCAAAGATGAGCAAGAGAAAGTAGGGCTACACCCTCCTCTACCTTTTGTTCCGGAAATCGGGTGCCAAGAAGCAAATTTGATGGAGGATGAGGAAAATGAAGATCTAGAGCGGCTTCTTTATAGGGTTCCAATTTATGACCCTTTTGCGGCCGAGCTTTGCAATATTTCTTCAAGTGATCAGGTTGGGAACAATACTGGTGCTATTGATCTTGATGACGAAGAGATTGAGATCAGAAATACGGGAAATGACTTGGACAATTTGGAAGGGTTTCTACGGTCGGATATGGAGCTGGCGGAGTTTGCTGCTGATGTGGAGAACCTGCTTGGAGGGGGACTAGATGAGGATTGTAGTGACATCAAAGGAATCCTGGGGCTATTGGACGAGGGTAAAGAAGTGAAGGTTGAAGAGGAAGTTGAAGGGATAGAATTTAATCCTTCGATCTTGGATTGGAACTTGTATTACGAACAGTCATCAGCTGTACCGGTACTAATGGGAAGTGAGGAGGACAAGGAGGAAGAGGAGAAGGTAGTCCTGTTCATGGGGGCTCAGAGTAGTGATGAGATTGGATTCATGGAGAACAAGCAAATAGTGATGAAGAGGAAGAACATATGTTTGAAGCTAGATTATGAGGCAGTCATCACTGCCTGGGCAAGCCAAGGCTCTCCATGGACGACCGGAACTCGACCGGAGCTCAACCCTGACGAAAGCTGGCTAGACTGCATGGTAACAATACTACTCTCTCTCTCTCTCTCTCTCTCTCTCCATTTTCTGGTCCTACTGATCTACTAGACTACTGGACAACAAAAGCATACTCATTCATTCGAATCACTCAGGTGTACTCTTCTGCATGTGATTACTGTCTACTGAAAAGAGTAAAAACAAAAATTATGATTACATATATATATAATTACATCAAATCCGCTATACATTTTTAATTAACTCTGTAAGGATGATTGCCTATATAATTAAAATCTATCTAGCTAACTTGTGTTACTTAAGTAAGTCTATTAAGCTGGCACAATTTTTACAAAACCTAATTAGGTTTTTTTTCCTTCGATCAAACCTAAATAGGGTTATGTATTAAATGGTTATTGCAGGGTATGTGGCCTACAGAAATTCATCAAGCACACGGAGATTCAGCAGGATGTGTAAGTGGAAGAGGAGATGACCCGCGAAGAGAAGCAAGAGTTTCTAGGTACAGAGAGAAGCGAAGGACACGATTGTTTTCGAAGAAGATACGATACGAAGTTAGGAAGCTGAACGCGGAGAAGCGGCCTAGAATGAAAGGTCGATTCGTTAAGAGGACAACGTCCAGCTTTGGTGGGGTGGGAAGTACTAGTAGTAATGCTCCTGCGGCTGCATTTCCCTACCTCATGATCAATAAATAACCGTACATAGCTGTAGCTGTCGTATTGATTTTCATGAACATCCCAATTTTGCTTGTTTAATTTCATGGCAAAATTGGATTGACATTGATGTATATGCAATGTGCCATATATATAGCCTGCATTTGTACGATAAATGAAGTAACTTGGTAGCTCATAACTAACACAGTTAGTCCATCTCTCTCACTACCAATGTATTAAAAGGCAAAGGTGTAGGTGAGGCATCCCATGGATAGCCCCGCCTAGGCGTGAGATGTGAGGCAAAGCCTCATGGTACCCAATGGCGTAGCCACACCAAAGGCTACGGTGGGCTGTAGCCAAGGGAGAGTTTGTGGTATACGTGTGTGTGTGTGTGTGTGTTTTAGTGCATAATCTAATATAATAGACAAAAAAAAAACTGCAAGAAGAATTATTTTTTAATGAAACTAGCCCGACGAGTATTTAGCACAATTAGAAATATAAAACTCATCATGGAAATTGTGATGCCATTTTGTTCAAGATTATTTTGTTTTGATTCAGCGGGCTTTATATTAGTTTCAATCAAATTTTTTAATTGCCTTTACATCTACTTTCCTTGTTTTGATTTGTGCTAGTTGTGTGATTGTAATTGAGATGTCAAATTTTTTATCTTCTTCTTGTGTTTGCATCTAAATATATGTAAATTTGATGATTCATTGTAATATTTGCGGTTTGCAAATGTGAAGATTGTTGAGTTCATGCCAAGTAAATTTTAAGTATACAAATATGTTAAACTTAAATTTTTGCATGCAATAAAAAAAATCATTTGATTTTAGGGTTATTTTTTTGGCTAGCCCACCCATAAAAATTTTTTTGGCTCCGCCATTGATGGTACCTAAAATTTTAACATATATATACACACCTTTATAAAATATAATACTTTGTAAAACAAATATAATTGTAACTAAATCAAAGATAATATCGTCTTCCTCATTACTAAGTCTAGTTGTACTTAGGCACTATGTCTTAATGTCTTGAAATGTTATAATTATTTATTTTATTATAAGTAATTATAGAAAACTTCAAAAGAAATAAGGGTGAGTGACCACAATTATAGAGAATTTTAAGGAAAATAAAGGCTAAATGTCACAAGTACAAGGAAATTCAAAAGGAAATAAAGGTTGGATGGAACAATTATAGGGATTTTAAAATGAAATAAAGGCTGAGTGAGCAATTGTAATATCCCACATCGCCCAGGGGAGTGGATCCTGTAAGCCTTATATGTATATTCCCATCTCTACCTAGCGCGAGGCTTTTTGGGAGCTCACTGGTTTTAGGTTTCATCGGAACTCCGAAGTTAAGCTAGATCGCGTGAGAGCAATCCCAGGATGGGTGACCCACTGGGAAATTCTCGTGTGAGTTCCTAGAAACAAAGCCGTGAGCGCGTGGTCGGGGCCCAAAGCAAACAATATCGTGCTCTGGTGAAGTCGAGCCCGGGATGTGGTGGGAGCCCAGACCGGGATGTGACAATTTGGTATCAGAGCCAATCCATGCTCGGAAGTGTGCCGACGAGGACGTCGGGCCCCTAAGGGGGGTAGATTGTAACATCCCACATCGCCCAGGGAAGTGGATCCTATAAGCCTTATATGTATATTCTCATCTCTACCTAGCACGAGGCCTTTTGGGAGCTCACTGGTTTCGGGTTCCATCGAAACTCCGAAGTTAAGCAAGATCGAGTGAGAGCAATCCCAGGATGGGTGGCCCACTGGGAAGTTCTCGTGTGAATTCCCAGAAACAAAACTGTGATGGCGTGGTCGGGGCCCAAAGCGGACAATATCATGCTACGGTGGAGTCGAGCCCGGGATGTGATGGGGGCCTGAGCCAAGATTTGATAGCAATTATAGGGAAATTAAAACAAAAATAAAGGTTGAGTGGAGCAATTATAGGGAATTTAAAATGAAATAAAGGCTTAGTGAAGCAATTACAAGGACTTTAAAAGGAAATAAATGCTTAGTGGAACAATTATTATTATAGGGAATTTAAAGGAAAATAAAGGTTGAATGGAGTAGTTATAGGGAATTTGAAGAGAAATAAAACTCTGCTAATTAAAAATAGGATTTGGAGAGAGAAACTCTGTCTTTCTTGTTCGTTCAAACTTGAAGTCTCCAACATTTTAGAAATAGCCATAGATTTTGAAGGAAAAAAAATGCCCAAGTTGAATGCCTGGGCGTGCCTTAGCCACCTAGACGCGCCCCAAACACCACCCTACGCCCACCCCACAAAACAGAGGTGAAAACCCAGCCGCCTAGCCTCCAAGACCGCCTAGGCTGGCTTCGAGGCAAGTTTTTTAAAACACTGCTCACTACTACTCATAACTAGCTACTACTTTCAAATTCGAAGCTTTACTGAACAAAGTCAGAAGAGCTCTCTCTCTCTCTCTCTCTCTCTCTCTCTCTCTCTCTCTCTCTCTCTCTCTCTCTCTCTCTCTCTCTCTCTCTCTCTCTCTCTCTCTCTCTCTCTCTCTCTCTCTCTCTCTCTCTCTCTCTCTCTCAAACACTTAGAAAAACACATTAACCAATATCGACTTTGAAATTGTGTGTGCTAATTGATGCATGTATAGCTAACAACTGGTTGGCAATAGCTACTACTATCTTAGACTTGAGTAACAATATTCATGCTTTCTTAATTTACGGAAGAGTAAAATTTTAGAAATCCCCCCGAGTTATACGAACTTAACTTCTTATTACCTTTACGTGGCGGTGTGCACATGCCTTTATATAATGACAATTTGGATGAAATGTGAAGAAAATAGACAGTATGGGGAAATTGGCTACAATCATTCATTTGAGTCCTTAGCTTACTAAAAACAAAAGTTCAAAGAGTAAATCAGAAGGCAAATACAAGTTCATGGAGTATTTTGGCAATTTACTTAACAATACTCTTCTTGTTGATAAATGATATTGTAGTTAACTTCCTTACATCCACGTTTAATCAAATTTCGTCATTAAAAGTGGATTATAAGCATGCCTGAATGTAAGCTTTCGACCAAAACAAATTCGTAATGGTTACAGAGACACAAAAATATCTTTCAAACGCTTGATGCATGGAGACACGAAAATCTATTTCAAACACTTGATGCCTGACATGGTAATACACGTACAATCACGTATATCTATGAATATGATTGTACTATATACTGATAAGTCAATTTCGTGGGTAAGTACATTAAAAAGCTGTTGTGTCACTGGTACTATTTTGATTAGGGCAACATGTTCCACATCCATCACATAAGTTGAAAAAGAGAAATCACGATTCAGAAACCAACTCACAGTACAATGATTTTTTTTTATACACTTTCTTTGGGGGCACGGTTAATTTTGATTCATTTTACTGCCAACAAAAGTTAAATTTGAAGAGAGAAAAGGGAAGAAAGATTGACAAAACCTGGCCAAGTTGATCAACAGGTTCCAGAATTTGGCATTCACCACTATAAATTTCATGCAGTTGTTGGTAGATTCGGTTAATGCAAATACATATCTAGGAATAAGAATTAGGGTTTCTTCCTTCTGGCTAAGCAATGCCAATAGGATGACGATCTTTTTTTGTCAGATATACTGCATCAGTAGAGTCTTCTGGAAAAAAGAAAAAACGTGGTTGTGTTTTTCAGGAGAGGAGAGAGTGGTATTGCACGTGGGTTAGGACCACCAGACAAAATCAAGTCTCTAAATTATTTATTTCAAAAAAAAAAAAAAAAAGCCCTTAAACTCTTAAAAATTATCAATTTCATTTCTTACTCTGAAACTCTTATTGTCACGAGTAATAATTCAAAGATTAAATCAGCAGTTCACCTATCTATATATGATACCCCTTTGGATTCGTTCTTTGATTTAAATTTTCGAAAGAAAAAAAAAAGAAGAAATTTAGGCTTGTTTAATAATCATTTAGTCTTTACCTCAAAAACAAAAAAAAAATCATTTGGTTTTTTGTTTTTGGTTTTCATTTGTTGTGTCAGTAATAAAAATTGAAATACATAGATAAAATGATGGATGAAGAAGAGTGAATATAGAGGATGATACAAAGAAAGACAAAATAAAATGTAAATTAAAAAAACTATATTACATTGTTTTCACTTTTTAAGATTTTGTTTTTATTCTCTCAAAAAAAAATTGTTTTTATTCTTTCTTCTTCATTTTTTCCCCTCTTCCATCACTTTTCATGATCCCTCCTTTTCACTATATAAAACAAAAAAAGAGAAAATCAAAAACTAAAAATGAGATAATTATCAAACGGGTTCTAAGATTTTGAATAATTAATTTGAGCATCCATAGTATTTGCAGTGCCCAACCATAGATAACTCACTCTAGTGAAAGCAATTGAAACATCTTAAGCAGAAATCATACATCGGTTACCATTTTAGTAGTTCAGTCCTCTATGAGCAAGGACTTTCAAAGCAATCGAATCAACCACCAATCCTTTTCTCAAGTCAAGTAGTATCCAAAAATAACAATAAAATAAAAATATCTGTACAATTTATTATAGTTTTGCATACATGGGATGGGATGTGTACTACTAGTATAGTTTAAAATAGAGCTTATCAAGATTTTAGACTAATTTATGTAAAAGGTATTCAATTATTTCCATTACGTCTTCTTCTTAGACGTCTTCCATAAAAAATTTGTAATGATTATATATCTTAAATTGACATCGACAAGTACACGAAGGTTTGTATATTATTATTAAGGGAGGATTTGAAACTATTACAATAATTTAGGATAATAGGCAGTTTCGAACCCGGAAAGCATGGATGGAAATTCAACACCTTCCGCTAGGATATTGGACCACATGCGATTCAATTTGCAGACTTGTATAACTTAGAATATTAACTAGCTAATCAATTTGTTAAGAGCGATCATACAACAAAGTTGTTCGAGTCCAGATTAGTACTTTTGATTCTGCTCCCACTCAAGGACATGGCGTAGTTTTGATGAGCGGGTACTACACTCTTCTTTTTACCTTTACTTAAGAAAAATTAAGAGACATAACTCAGTAGAGAGTACATAAAGTCAAAAGAGAGTGCGGAAATCACTTTCTAAACTGTCTAGTGCCGTTAGTAAACAATGAAAAGAAATCCAACAGTTGGGGTGCAGAGAAGTAGTGTTGTATAACTGTTGGGTTCACTGGCTGTCTTGCTTTTAACTGCAGACAA